TACTATATATATATATATATATATATATATACTTTTGGATTAGGTCCGGGGACCTGTTGTCACCCCTAGTTAGATAATCCTTAAGTGGATCCCACAGGAGCACCATACATATGCTTATCCATTTATGGAGAGAGTAGACTTATTACATGTACGGATGAATGATGTTAAATGAATGATCTAGATTTGTCATGCTATTCAAGGTTATGTAATGGATATTGCTAAAAAACAAGTATATCCTTACGAGGTTTGTAATGTTTTAGGAAATTTAAGTAGCTTTACATTAGATCAGGGACTAGGAGTGGCAATGGGTCGGGTTGGTCTGGGTTAAACTAAAAAATTATTTTTTGCTTGGGGTACCAATTGGATTTTCAATGGAGGTGACGGATATGGCACTTAATGGAGCTATTTTACAAATAATTTCTCATAGATTTATAGGTGCTGCACTTTTTTTTTTGTCAAGAACAAGTTACGATTGAATACGGTTTCTTTATCTCGACAAAATGGGAAGAATAACTATACCAATACCAAAAATATTTATTATGTTCAGTATTTTTTCGATGGCCTCTCTCGCATCGCCAGGAATGAGTGGTTTTGTTGCGGAATTTTTGTTCTTTTTGGGAACAATTACCAGCCCAAAATATCTTTTTATCCCCAAAATATGGGACCTGGATCCGGACCCGAACTTGACCCAAAGATTAAAATATCTATGTATTTAATTATATTTAAATATATTTAAATATATACCATATATTGAAACTTAAAAATATTACCAAACCCAAACCCAAACCCAAATGGTGTCAGGTCCATGATTTGGACTCCAACAATTTTTGGATCCATGTCGAGACCTTGATTGGGTCTACCCCTTGTGTCCCGGGTCGGATCCGGGTCAGGATCCATTGTCACCCCTATCAGGAACCTGCCCTGATGCTAATATTTTTCAAGAAAATGGAGCTAAGGTTTTCTCGGCGGATTTCCAACGTGTTTTGTCTAACGAGCAGCGTGGGAAATGACCTACTTATTTTAATTTAAAAGTTTAGGATCCACTTTCGCATTACAAGATTGTTATTTTTTAAAGCGAAAAAAAAATAGATTTTTACTTAAAGAAGTAGATCTAATAGTCCAACATTGGACATCAATGTGCAATTTCAGCGAACGAATTTTTTTTTGGTAGATCCTGGTTGTTTATGTGATTTATTTTTTGGATGAAATGGTAGATCCAGGTTGTTTATGTGATATATTTTTTGGATGAAATTTCTATAGGGCCTAGGCTTTATGAAAACAAAATAAAGCTTCACCTCATCCAAAAAGCACTTTCGGCAATAAAAATCTACATGATGGATCTAAAATCAATTTTTGACACCAATAATACGATTTGAAACTCAAAAAATGATATAGATCTTGTGGATCCATAAACAGTTTTTTTGGAGTGAAATAGAGGGTTTAGACAATTTGTGTTCAAGAACAATTTTTTTTGGTAGATTGAGGTCATTTATGTGATTTATTTTTTGGATGAAATTTCTATAGGGCTTAGGCTTTATGAAAACAAAATAAAGCCTCACCTCAAATCCTTATCCGAAAAGAACTTTCGGCAATAAAAATCTCCATGATGGATCTAAAATCAATTTCTGACACCAATAATAGGATTTGAAACTAAAAAAATGATACAGATATTGCGAATCTATAAACATTTTTAGGGTGAAATGGCTGGTTTAGATAATTTGTTACATTATACACTATTTTTAGAGCTTAAAAACCAAAAAAAAATTTACATCCACAATGTTCATGCCGAGATGATCGATGTACAGGTTTTTCAATCCTTGAATTGTAATTTTAGAAAAATTATGAGATGATGCTTTACTTTTTCTTTTTTTTTAATAGGATTGCGGCCCCATCAAGCCATTTTGCTTATATTTTTAGGTCGGTCACAAGTTGAGCACGTCGCATCTCTAGGATCCGGAATCATGAAATACCCTTTTTTACTCGAAGGAGCAAATACACATGTTACTCCTATAGGAGCATACAATCCTTTCTTAATACGAAGTTTTCCAAAAGTCAATGTCATTGGAATATGTTAGGTTTGATTTTAAATTTTTAATCGAGTTGCATAGAGTAAGGGGTGTATTTCCTGGTGGCCAAATGATAATTTATATATAATCCAGCTGCATAAGTTAAGTTATAACATGGGCGTGGGAGCCTCTCATTCGTGATATATATATTTTTTATGATTTTTATCATTTTAGCAAAGAAAGATTGGAAAGTGATTTGGTCATAAATATTTATTTTAAAAAATTTCTATCTTTTTTGGACAACAAGTTAGATTTTTTAAAATCTATTTTTGTACTACTATTTTATCCTCATTTTGATGCGTTTTAAAACCTATTTTGTTGTGCTACAGTACTCGGCAGTTTTCAAACCGAGTTACTCGGATTGGCATGGGCCGAGTATTCGCGTCGAGTAGTGCTTTCGAAACCTGATATATATATTTGAGAGAAAAGTACTTAAACCCCCATTGACTTAACTATCTTAACGTCCTCCCACCAGCAATGTTTAAAACACTAACCAAAAAAAAAAAAAAGGATTGTTTTCTTTTGCTCTTCACTCCTCCTAGTCAAAAGGTCAATAAATTTATGACTAGAATACCCACATTTCATAGTGCCGGTCCGGCATAAAACACTATCGGACCGGCTTCAAAAGCTAGTCCGACATAAAACATTGCCGGACCGGCTTCAAAAGCTAGTCCGACATAAAACATTGTCGGACCGGCTTCGTACCGATATTATGAAATTAATATGCTGGACCGGTCCAACACATTTTTGTGTCGATTCGATGCATTTTTTGTGCCTACTCATTTTTCAATACAGTTGTAGGACCAGCACTATGAAATCAGTGTGTTGCTCATTTTTTGATCGAGCACAGTAAAAAGAAAAAATAAAAAAAAAAAAGTGTGTTGTCAACGTGGGTCAAATGGGGGTATTTTAGTCCAAAAAGGGTATTTTTTAAAAAAAATTGCGAGACAATTGCAAAAGAAAATAGTAATGAAGTTTTTTTTATTTACTTATTTTTAAAAAGATGCTGAGAAGAAGATTTCAAGAAAGTTGAGTCAATGAGGGTTTAAGTAATTTTCCCTATATAAAATATGTTTTTGGGCTTGTTCTACTTGGGCCTCGGGGTGGCAACGGGTCGATCAGGTCTGAGTCGGGTCAGGCCGGACCTAAACCTAGACTAGAGGTTATCAGACCCAGACTTGGACCCGATTGGACATGAATTAAGCAAACTTGACCGAACCCAATAGCATCCCACCCAAATAGTGTTACAGTATTTGGACCTGGACTCGATCTAACCTGCCGAGTCCAATTATTGGACCCATACCAGAATCCGGGTCAAGTCTAAGTCAGATCCCGGATCCATTTCCACCCATACTTACGCCCCAAGCCCAACCGTGTCGGCAGCTGTAAAGGCCCACGCACTATTCCGACCGTGTTTAGTCGTTACCAAGAATGAGGGTCGCATTTTCTTCGTTTTTGCTCCATCTTCGATCATGGAAGATTCGGTCCTCGGTGTCGGCCATGTGGCAAAACGGGTACTCATCCGTTTGCAGCCGTATTAAGACAAGTAAACCGCACGTCGTAACTCTTCTAAAATTGTAATCCAAGACGTTGAAACACATTTAAATTCGATCATCTCATCTCTCATGGTTGTGAAAAACAAAATATAGGATTTCAAATTGTAAAATAGTGTGTATTTCAACAAATTATTTAGACTGTCTATTTTATACTAAAAATAAGTGTTTGTATATACCATTTTTTAGTTTCGAATTATATCGTCCGTGTTGGAAATTTATTTTAAAGCTATGATGAAGATTTTTTAGTCTTAAAGTGATTTTCGAATGAGGATTTGGGATGGGGTTTTATTTTGTTTTCATAGGCCCTATGATCACTTTATAGTATTCAAAAACAACAATCCACTTGATACTTATTATCAGATTTTTATATTATTAAATAAAAAGGAAAATATCTTATTATCTTCTATTTTTAACTTCTATATCTCATCGGATCCAAAAATTGAAAATATTACTTGTAAACAAAACGATTTCATTTTTTCTATCTTCCAACCCTCTAAACCCTTTTGACCATATATTATTGTCCTCAACAACTTATGAAATGACTCTCTCTCTCTCTCTAAAACTCTATCTCTCTCATCATCTTCTCTTTATCAAAACTCTATCTCTCTCTAAAACTCAAACTCCATCTCTCTCTAAAATTCAAACTCCATTTGTCTCTAAAACTCCATCTCTCTAACACATAAAAATGTATGCTCGTGTTTGAGCTCAAGCTAAATCCGAGAAGCGAAGAGAGAGAGAGATGGAGTTTGAATAGGCTGTCATTTTAATATTTATTTGGGTCAAAAAATTATGATAAAAAAGTTCGAAGGGGTTATAAGATAGAAAAGATCGAAGACTATTGTTTACAAATAATATTTTCAATTATTGAGTTTCACTATATATGAAAGTTAAAAATATGAGATAAAGAGATATTTTTTTTAAATAAAAATATGTTTACACGTATTATATTTGTACACTATTTTGACCTTTTTATTGCATAGGCAAGTCAAACCAAGAAGGTATTTGAAGCATGTGCTGACAAGAAGAAGCTCCGTATTATCTTCTTTTTTTTACTTTATTGGGCTTCTATATATTTCCCTTTCTGGGTTTTCTCATTCCACTCGAAGATAGCGAGAGAGATTGAATTTTGGGGAGAGAGAGAGACAACTAGAGAGAGTTTTGTATGTGAAGTTTCAGAGGTAGAGAGAGAGGAAGAGTTCATAGGGAATTTCTTTACAGTCTAGAGGACACAAGGAGGAGCTTGGCGACCTGCAAATTCTAGAGAGAGAGAGAAGGGAGAGAGAATGGGTAGATTTCAGGAAACAATTCGCATATTGTGGAAGAACAGATATGCAACTTTCAGCATCTTGTTGTCCTCTCTAATCATCGTGGTCGATGGTTATGGTGAGAAATCCAATTACCCAACTCCTATATCTCATTGTTTATGTGTGCGTGGAGAGGGACAGAGAGAGAGAGATAGATTTCTCTTTAGTGTGTGTGTGGAGAGAGAGAGATTTCTCTGAAGTGTGTGTGTGTGGAGAGAGAGAGATTTCTCTTTAGTGTGTGTGTGTTTGAGAGAGAGAGAGATATATCTTTATCTTATGGGGCACCATTTTTTCTTCCCCCAGAGCAATAACTGCCCCATTCTTGTCACGAGACTTGCTATTTTTCTCACAGTTTCAGAAAAGTGTCTTTTTTTGTTTGATCCTGATTTGTTTTAATGGAAATAGAAAACATTGTCATTTTTTTTATTGTAAAAAAAATTATTCGGTATATTTCATGGATTTCAAACCTCTTGCTCACTTCGTCCCTTTCCATTGGAGAAGCTGAACCACTTGCAAATATAAATTTTGTTTTAGATTCCTAGGAAGTTTCAGTTTTTTATATTAAAAAACACAGTTTTTTGTTTTATTGTGATTTTACAAAACAAAAAACAGTTGTCTTCATCACCAAATTACATAGCCAGCTGGGCAAATGTATTCATATCATTAATGAAAATGGGGTAATTTTGTATTTTCCATTAATTAGTCGCTTATCTTATTAGATTGAAGTTATGGAAGGTTTACAAATTAGAAGGTGGATAGAATTTCAGTATTTTGGACAATTATAGTAGGAAATTTCCAATTTCAATTCATTGAATTGGGATCCCAGATCTCGAGTTTTCAACTTCCCATACTCGGCTCCAAAAAACAAGAAAAAGGAAAAAAAAAAAATCACCTTCTTTTTCGGGATTTTACATTATTTTATTTTTCATTAACAAACTCAAAACTCTACAAGTGGATGAATCCAATTTTATTTGTAACTCATATTAAATTTCCAATCTTGTCAATGGAAAGAGTTTTTCTGTTTTTTTGTAAAAATATTAATAAATAGTTTTTGGATAAGTTGCAAAAGAACTTGTTTTTGAGGCCAAAACCAAATATGTTTTGTTTTTTAGCCAAAGCTAAAAGACTTCCTGCAATAATGAATGCCTTTCCTATCCGTTTCATATATCCTGAAAAAAAAGTAAAAAATAGACATCTCTAAAAATATAATCCCTTGTCCACTGACTACTTTAGCTATGGACTACTTGTATCATAGACAATCACAATACTCCCCATTTTCATTGGGTGTCTACTTTCAATTTGGACCAGACATCGGGGTGATCAGCGGTGCGCAGCTGTTTGTGCGGGAGGAGCTCCACCTGGACGACGTGAAGGTGGAGGTGATGGTGGGGGCGCTGAACCTCTTTGCGATCGTGGGGGCGATCCTTGCCGGGCTCATTTCGAACCGGCTCGGCCGTCGCCGCACCCTCATGCTGTCTGCGGCCCTCTTCACCATCGGCTCTGTGATCATGGGCATCTCCCACTCCTTCCCGGTGCTTTTTGTGGGCCGCCTCTTTGCGGGTGTCGCCGCCGGCCATGCCCTCGTCGCCGCCCCAATCTATGCCTCTGAGATTGCGCCACCGGAGGTCAGAGGCTTTCTCGCTTCACTTACGGAAATTTTCATGGGATGCGGGATACTGCTCGGATACATATCAAACATCGCATTCGCTTCATTGCCGGGGCGGTATGTATGGTTAATTTCTAAGAATACAGTTCATTTCATTTTAATATACGACTATTTTTTAATTCATAAAAATAATGAATGGATGGTGGATGTTGAGTTTGATTACCTCGTACTCATACGGAGAAGTGCAGAATAAAACTAACTATAATTTTGAAAATTTTAATCTGCGTTAACTGTTTTTTAAAATTAACAGGTACAACTGGCGGGTGATGCTAGGGCTAGCGGCGGTGCCGGCAGTGGTGATTTGGGTGGCATATTTATGGATCCCCGAGACGCCGAGGTGGCTCGTGATGAAAGGACGGATCGAGAGCGCACGGCTCGTGCTGCAACGCACGTTCAATGACAGCAAGAGGGCGGATTCAAGGCTCGAGGAGATACAATGTGCAGCAGATGTCCCGCACCCGAACGGACCAGTTTGGGGGGAGTTGTTGCTGAGGCCTTCGGCGTGTGTGAGACGCATTCTCTTGGCCGCGGTCGGCGTCAACTTCTTCCAGCAGGCCTGTGGGATACAGACCGTCACGCTCTATGCACCCAAAATCTTCAAGCGTGCCGGCCTTAAGAAGAAATCACAGGTAACGTTAAAAGTAACACTTGTTTTTAAACAAATTATTTTCTTATCTAATGCCTAACTACTTATTTTATCATCACCCAATCTATTCTTTTCAGGGTGGGTGGGTGGGTGGTCATATCAATCCACCATTCTTCCTGCTGTATCAAAAACTTGATTATTTTCTACCCATCATATTCGTTATAACCGCCTTGTATATATATTTTCGCTTCCAAAACGACCGGTTTTTTCAAATAAAAAAAACACTCCATTGCATCTGTCATTTCTGCAAATCGTGTTAACTTGTTTAAAACTCTTCTTTCTCTTTGTAACGCCATTGTACAGTTAATACCCTGTTATTTCAGTAAAAATGCCTGTAATAACCGTTATTTTAAAAAATTAAGTACACTAGAATTTCTCACCACCCGTTATAACATGAGCATATATGTCTACCGCAGGCTCTAGCTGCAAACTCCGGCGTCGGAGTTACAAAGGTGGTGTTCATCTTCGTGTCGATGCTCCTTGCCGACAGGTGGGGCCGGCGACCGCTCCTCCTTCTCAGCATCTTCGGCATGTCATGCACCCTCCTTGTCCTCAGCGGTTCCCTCTTTGCCATGGACCGGTCCCCCAGCCCCGCCTACAAGTGGATCGCGATCGTCATGGCGTGGATCGACGAGGCGTTTTACGGCATAGGCGTCGGCCCTCTGGCATGGGCCTACGCGTCGGAGATATTCCCGTTGCGACTCCGTGGGCCGGGGATGAGCATGGCTGTTATGGTGAACAGAATAGTGGGATCTGTGGTCTCCATGACATTCTTGTCTCTCACCAATGCCATCACCATTCAAGGGTGTTACCTCATGTTTTCCTGCATTTCATTCATTGGGGGTGTGTTCTTTTGGTTTGCTTTGCCTGAGACTAAAGGTAAGACACTGGAGGAAGTGGAGGCTCTCTTTGAGGGGAAGAAGCCATCGGAGATCAATGGTGAGAAATTAGAGAAGGGTGGAGGGATCGAGGGTTTTGAGGGGAAGCCATCGGTGATTAATGGTGAGAAATTAGAGAAAGGTGAGGAAGTGGGGATGGAAATGAAGGTGAGAAATTAGAGAAAGGTGAGGAAGGGGAGATGGAAAGGAAGGTAAAGTTGAAATTCTTAAGAATTAGAAGAGAGAGAAAAATAGTTACACCATATGTGGTGTTGCATTCATATTAAATGTCGACTTGTAATGTTAGCTTGGCTAACATGCCATTCCAAGAGTACTTTTTGTGTCTCATAAGAGCACATTGTAAATTTATTCTAATAAAAAGTCTCAGTCTAAAATTTTGGGATTTATTTTAAAATTATTAGATGAGTAATCTTAAATAAACAACTGAAAATAGTACTTTTTTAAGTCCACACATTACGGTTTTTATTCTCATCGACACCAATCCATTAGCATCTTCAAAAAAAAAAAAAACTCATATTTGCCTTTCCCACTGAATTACCCAAAATAAAACACATGCAGATTGAACATTGAGTGCTTGCATACTTCCATGGAAGAACATTGTACACTTACTCCTTGAGCAAAAGATTACAGTCTCAAATTCTGGGACTTAGTTGAGAATCATCATATGATTACTTTCAAACAACAAAAATGAAATTTTAAGTTCCTAAGCACTTAGATTAGACAATGAAAAAATTAGAAAAAAATTAAATGATCTTTGGTCAATTTTTGTAAATTTTTTTTTCGTTTTGAGATTAATTACCAGCTTGATGAAATATATGACAAGTTTTGACGTTAGAGTATAGACAGGGTTTCACAGGAAGTGAATGTGTGATGCGCTCCCATACGAGCGTATATACTTTGTTGTCAAATGTTCTCTTTAGACTCTCTCTACTCTCTCTCTATACTACTATATACTAGTACTATATACTACTACTACTATACTATATACTATACTATACTATACTATATATATATAT